TTAAAAAAAAAAAAAAAAATTCTCCACAAATCATTGTATAAAGATTTTTAATTTGGAAAGCGATTAAAGCAATCAAAGAAAATAAACAGTGGTATCCTTTCAATTCCATGGCTATTTTCAATAATTCATAATGTCCCACCAACTTGTATACCATTCTGACTGAGTACCTCACCCAAATGTTTGCTTTCAGACCAAAATCAATTAGAGAGAACCAAAATAGTACAGTTCTTGATGCATTATGCATTTTATCGTCTTTGTCAATTATTATAAATAAAGAAAAATATGGCATCGAGTTGGTATTATGTAATTTTTTCTAAAAACTACAAAATTCTTCTTTTTCTTTCCCTAGTAATTAGTAGTAAGCTGCTGGATATAGATCAGCAGACAAATGAGAAGCCTAACTAAAAGTTAATATTTGTGGTAGTCATCAATAAAACTAAGAGGTAATTCATGGTTAAGAGAAAGAGAAAGAGAAAGAGAGAGAGAGAGAGAGAGAGAGCATGCCTGTCTCTTGACGACCCCACACATCGGGATTAGGAACTACAATCAAGAAAATTATTTGTTAGGCTTTTTTTTTCAAACAGGAAAAATGTTGGTGAGTCTTTTTGAGTAATAGCTTCTTTATTGAATTAATAATGTTAAGTTCGCATTGAAAGTCACTATCGAATTCAAATATTTATGAACAAGAATTGTCGAACGGAGATGTTTTTGCTAGTAAGTATATAAAAACTTACATGTCGGTCAAATCTATCGGGTCTGGTCAAAGCTGGATCGAGTATATCGGGCAAGTTTGTTGCAGTCATCACAATAAAATTCCCTGTAGGTAAGTGTTGAACTTAATTCAAAGTAAAATATGAGAAGCTACATTTTCTTCTCTTTTTTTTACAAAAAATTCATGTTCATTATTAACCTCATTCTGCTAGAAACCATCCATTTCGACGCGCAACTGATGCAGCGTTTTCTTTGTATGGCCTTCCCACTGCTTCCGAGTAGGATGCAACGACATCAATTTCATCAATGAAAACGATGCATGGAGCCTGCAGCAATGCGTGTATATAATCATAACAAAAAAACTAAATGGAATACAAGATTTTATGAATAAATCAAATATGACCACTCGAACATATAAAGTGTGATGGAAACAGGGGTTTAACCTTCTTTTTAGCTGCTTGAAACAAGGATCTTAATCGTCGAGCAACCACACCTACAAACCTAACATAGAAAAGATGAGTGAACTTTCTAATCAAAATCTTGATAATTTTAGATATATGATTTTTCCAATATAGTCATAAAGATCATTGCAAAACCTCTTTAAAAATTATGAACATCCTTACGTAAAGTTATAACATTAAACGAAAATAAGAAAAAAAAAACAGCTTACATTTCCTCGAACTCCTGCACTGTAAAAGAAAGGCACGCCCGCCTCTCCCGCAATAGCCTTCAAAATCGAAGCAATAATATAGTCAGATTCTAATCTCTATTAACTTGACAATGAACTTTTATAATAGCAGTTACAGCACAACAACATATATACCTTTGCAAGCAGAGTTTTCCTGTCCCAGGTGATCCTGTAAGAAGGATTCCCTGAAATTTTAAATGCATATTAAAATAGCACAAAGAGGGAAAACCATTCACAAGGGACACCCTTGTACCATAAAATAATAAACGAAACAGACCTTTGGTAATTTCCCTCCAAGTCGCGTGAATTTGGAAGGTTCTTGAGATAAGCAACCAAAATAACCTTGCTGAAGTGCGCCGGTTAAGCAAGGACTTGCTGAACAAACACACACATAAGATGGGCAACCAAAATAACCTTTCCAGCACGACCAATTAAATAACATTCTCGGTCATTTCCCTGGCCATGGATTTAAATAAAATTACATTGATGAGCCAAAATAGCACCGGCCCACAAATAGTAAACCCCAATTACACCCCCTCCCACATGACAAGATGATCAAAAACACCATTCCGAATCTAAGACCTCAATAAGATTCAGATTCAGAAGCATAGCACACACAGCAGATGAAATTTCTTTTGGAGGCACTACAAACATGAGAACACTACCCATGACATATCACATCATAGACACTTCACACGTTATCAGCAAAAATAAAAAACCTTCTAGAAATAAAAGAAAATTTAAACAATGAAACTAATGAGGACTCCCTTCTAATGTATATCATAAATATTATATAACAACAAATGCATCTTAAAGATCAAACATGTTCATACAAATAACAACAAGAATGACATAGCCAGTAAAAGAATATTCAAATGCAAACATATTGGGACATTGCTAAGTACATTCCAAACAGTGACCAAGAATTAGAAAACCAATTTCTGTATTTCATCTGCACAAATTCCTATAAACATGTTATTACATATGTAAGAGAAGTAAATGAAAAGATGAAGTTACCCTGATAATTTCATAATTGTTCCATCGGACTTCTGATGAGAGTTTGCACAACAGGCAATATTTGTGCCCAACCTGAATCCTCAACACCTTCAACCGTGCAAGAGCAACTTCTCCGCGCTTAGTCTTGTGAGGGATCATTCTAACAAATATATATAATATGTTAAGCAAGTATAACAAGTTTCACCACTTCAATTAGTAGAAGAAATGAATTAGCAAATGAACACTAATTAAAAGGCCTCTGTAAATAACACTGATTCTTATCTCTATTAGTTCAGCCTTACATGAAAAAAAGAACATAAAAGAATTTTAATCATCAAAAAGCAAAAACTGAGATGCTAACCTCGGAAGTTTAGTTTCATAATCAGAACAAAAGTTGTGTATGCTTATATTTGTGTGATTTTGCGTGTTCAGAACCAACAACCAAATGCATAAGCCAAAAAAATACATGGCATCATCATCCATTTCATTTCAATAACGACATTAAAGAAAGAAACCAAAATAAGAAATAAAAAAAAAAAGGAGGAAATCATACCCAAGAACAGTTCTCCACATTTCTCTTTCTTTTTCTACAACCTCAACCACATTGTTAAAGGCATTTAAACTAACAAGAGGCTCAAATTAAACACACGTACTTCAATTTTTCTCTTTCTTTTTCTACAACCTCAACCACATTGTTAAAGGCATTTAAACTAACAAGAGACTGAAAAATAACTACATTCAGCAGGTGAAAGGTCAAAGAACTCCAACAGCATACACCAAAAATAATGTAACCAAAAATTATAACACAACATGCTATAAATTTCATTTCCTTTTTTACCCCATTTTCGTAACTTCAAAAATAAATTAGAGGCCCTATAACTGAGCATTTAAATTATGAAATTAAAGCATTTTGACAGCATATAACACAGCATAAAATGCATAAATAAGCTACAGAGATTTATGGTACAAACACATGAACATATATGTACATATAATTTTTCTTTTCCTTCTTTTCATCATTCCCATAGCACGCATGAAGAACCATATGAATTCAGGTTAAACTTAAACCTCTGAAACTTAGTCACCTTTCAGCAATATAAACATGCCAAAAGGCCACAGCGAGGTCATAACAAAAACAACTAACATGAGGCCAAAACAAGCACTTCACTTATCTATTTTTCTCAATAACATTCATACATGCTAAGGGCTTTATAAACCAAGATTAAAGCATATAAAGGGTAACAACAATGGGTATATTCAACATACAAACTCGGCCAAGAAAAATCCGTGAGGTTCAGCCAATTTACCTCTCGTTTCTGGGAAAAACGGACCCGGTTAGCTGCAGCCCTGACACCCTCAAGTCCTCGGGAGCAGCTCGACTGCCACTGCTCACGCTGCTCGGAACAAATGCGCCTCAGACCACTAAAAGCCCACTCTCGGATCATGGTGCTCAAATCACCAGAAAAAGGCCCTCAGCCCGCGCGCTGTCCAAACGGCGGCTGGTCAAACACCCAGTCACTGCTCGTTCGCATTAAATACCTCGAAAAACGAGTCAGCCCGCCGCGGCTCTCGATGGTCCCTCTGTCCGGCGGTTCATGGCGAAGTCGGCGGGCTGCTCACGCGAACAGAGGTTAATTGGTCTGGTCGGACGTGGTCGGGGTTTGCTGGTGGTTCGACGGCGATGGTTGACTGTCGGGGCGCGGCTGTTCACGACGGCGGCTCCCCCTGGACGGCTCGCGAGCGGTTTGCGCGTCTCCCGACAGAAATTGCCTGCCCTCGGCGTCGGTCGAACGTGGCAGCGGCCCCACTTCGCTGGTCTCCGACGGCGTCGCCGGCGTGGCATACGCGGCTGGCGCTCGTGGTCAGGGACGGCAGGGTTCTCGGTTGCTTGAGGAGGCGTCTTCGGAATCGCTCAGCAGCACATGGTCGTTTCAGTCGCGCGCTCATCTCGCCGGAAGAGCTGAAGCTTCAGGTCGCCGGAATTGTTGCTGGGCTGACACGTAGGAAGGATGGGGCTCGCTGTTGCTGCTCGTTTCTGCCGAGAAGGGAGAGAGACGACGGGAATTTTGAGGAGGAAGGAGATGAGCGATTTGCAGAGTTCTGGAACGGGAAGAAGAAATGAGATTGCCGCTCTCTCTCTCTCTCTCTCTCTCGGCTTTAAATAGAGGGGAGAAAATTAGGGTTTGGCAAAAAAAGGTTACTGGCTGCTGTTGGGCCGAAAAATTAATAAGTGTTTGCCGGTTTGTACACTAAAGATAGACCGAAAAATATAATAACTAGAAAGAGCAAAAAAATAATCAAGTTCAAAAAAGAACAAATTTTAATTAAATAAAGTGGATCGAGAGACGTCTGAACTCGAGATCCAAAATAAACGATTTTTGTTTAACGAATAAATAAATAATAAAATAAATACAATCATATATAAATAATGACGACACAAAATTAATTAAAGGCAGACTAACAATTACATAAAGGTAAGCAGATAAATAAATACAAGAAGTAGTAATAATTTAAGGCAAACAATTACATAAATAAAAGCAAGTAATAACAATTAAAGACAAAAATATATAATAGATACATAAACATAGAATTCGAATGGAGCGTTACAGAAACCCTTCACAAACTTTAGATTTTGAAACAGAGCAGCGAAGTCCAGTATCGCCGGTATCACGCTGGTTCTTCCGGCAGACGGGGCGGCACCCCGTTTGTGACCAGCCCTTGACGTTTGATCTTGTTGTCCTGATTGGGACATGATTTTCGTCCGAATGATGAACACGAACACAAATACTAAGAACTTATGTGACTGTTGTGTATGGAATCGAAGATTAGTTCCAAACAACTTATGGAACCCTTCCTTCTAGCGCCAAACTATTGTTATGCGATAATTAACAACGATAATAACTATAATTAATGATGTAAAACGGTATAAAGTGTTTAGCTTTGGGATTATTATAAGATTGAACTGTTACAGGAAGTCAGTTTTTGTATGAACCGAGTAGAATTTACATGTATTTTCTTTTTGTCCAAAAACTGAATCCTCGTACAGGAATTAATTCTCTTATTTATAGTAACTTTTGTTGGCTCTATGTTCAAGGTTGGTACGGCCGCATTTAGTGCAGAGTGACTTTATGGGGGTTTAGAGGGCCCACAAGTTATGATGACGACATGTGTGGAGGGCGGTTTGTTCAATTGGTCGCATAGGCGCCTCGTCACCACCTTTGAGTTCGGTTGATCGCATCGGTTGGTCGTCGTGGATGGGCGAGGTCGGTTCTGCGTCTGGTTCAAACCGAGTTCATCCTACTTTAAATTAACTTCATATTAGTATCTATTTTCCTCTGAATTTAATGACTCGCCAGGATTGTCAACATTGTCATAATTTATTGTGCCCAAAAAACTTCCTTTTACCACTATACACGTCAATTTTATACTTTAAGACAAACTTCCTCTTACCACTATACATGCCCTAATTCATTCGCATGTACTAATTCACAATTTTTGGACGCTTTATTTATCATCTTAAAACTAAATTGTATACCATATACATAAAAGTGTGGACCAAATTTGTACCATCCAAATTTGTTATATACTTTAAAAAATTATGGTTTAACGTGGTGAAAGAAAGTTTTTAAGGTTATTTTACCATTATTGATGAATTTTAATTTTCGCACTTTCACGTGCACCATTATTCACAATTTTTGGTCGTTTCATTTTTTATCACAAAACTCAAATTTTACTATCAAAAATTGTTACTATACATAAAATAGCGATATAATGGATGAAAGAGTTTTTTTTTTTGGGCTCCTTTACCATTATTTATATTTTTTTACTTTTTTACCATTATTAATTTTTTGTTGTTTTAGTTCATATGATCCCATAAAAAAGATATAAATAATGAAATGCGGTTTCATTATAACACAACTGGATATTAACTTATAATAAACTTTTGAGAAAAATAGGAGCAAAATATCCACCACGGCACAACTCAAAATGACGGTAGATTGACCTCAAAAACATTACAAATTATTGTCATGCCTTGGAGATTTTACAGTACTCGTTTGCCAGTCAAGTCTACGCAAATGCCAAAGTCGTGCCTTTTGGATGACATGTTTGCTAGTGGCCAAGTTACTGCCTTAAGATTTTTAAATATATTTCTTATTGATAGTACACACCTTATTTCTTATTGATCCGAAGAAATTTTCTTATTTTTTTTAAATATATTTAATTTTATGAAATAAAAATATTTTATGATTCATATAATAAAAAAATATTTGACATATCTTATATTATAAAAAAATATTTGACATATCTTATATATGTTATTGGTTTGTTATTTCTATTATTACGTCGCTATCAAAACCAATGATGATAATTTATATATATGGAAAGAGATTTGTTCGAATGAGTCCACATACTTAAAGTGAATATGTGTAATCTTAGCCATTAAATAGGGATCAACATGTGATCAAAATATAACCTTTTATTATTCTATTTTAATATTATTTAGAACATTTGCTAGTTGACCATCGATGTTGACTACGACGTTGGCCTTAACTTTTGGCTTTGACCGAGATTCGTTGACTTCCGACGTTGACTGTATGTGCATTATGTATTTAGAAAATATGCACTCAACAATATTACTTGATATGAACTAGATATGTATTTGGTACGAATTGACTATACAATATTTATGAACTAAATGTGCACTAACAATATGACTAAAAAAAAGTGCACTAGTAATATCACCTAAGTATACAATGTTTATGAACTAAATATGCACTGCATTTGAACTAAAAGCGCATTTTGCATGAATCAAATATGCATCGAAAATATTCAATCAAATATGCAATTTATATAATTATTTTAAATATAATAATTATTATATTTTATTATATAATTAACGTAAATTTCAATTGATTAATAAGTCATTGATCTACACAATAATCTTTTATAATGCTTATACATCAAGACCCAAAACAAAAAGTTTTCCGTTCCACATTCTTTCAGCGCCCACATGCCTTCAAGAATCTACACAATACAGAACATCAGTAAACGCAGCCAACTTCTCATCAACCATTGAGCATACGGTCGTAATTTCCCACACAAACAATCAGCAGATTCTCACACAACAATCTCTTTACATTACATTATTTCAATATTTCGTTATCAATAACTATTGAAATGAACGCTTATCTTGAATTCCCAGCCGAACACTTTTCCCCCATCCAAATCTCTTTTGCTTGAGCTTCACCTTCACATTCACTCTACCATCAACAATAGCCTTGACAACAACCCCAATCTTCCCCTCCAATTTCTCCCCTTTTCTGGGCGTGTACACCACATTATGTATGTCATCCTCTAATGCCCTCTGAGCCAACAATCTCCCCACAGCAGTACACGCATTCCTGTTCTTCGTCGACCCCAAATCGAACTTCATATCTTTAGAAATAGAGTGCGATACGGCAACCACTTTGCTAGTGGCTCGGTGGATCACGCATGCTCGAACTGAAGCCTTTGAAATATAAATATCCAAACAAAAGGGCTCGTGGTATGGGGCCGTCATTTGGTTATAAGTGAGAGTTCTTTGTTTTTTACCAACACACGAGTCTCCGAATGAAGCTTTTTCTTTATAAAATCCCATTGAGGACTCTTTAGGGCTCCCTTTATTTGTATTCTTGATTTCTGTGGGTGAGTCCTTCTTCCGGGTTTTCTCTTCCGCTTGACTATTTGCTCTTCCTTTTCGATATTTATCGTTCCTCGAAGATTTCCTTCCATGGAAATCGAATTTGTACTCTTCGTATTCTCTAGAGTCCTTGTCGATCTTGTAGAACAGATTCCCATGAATCCTCATGTCCTCAATCTCGTCAAAAGCAAGGTCGCTCTTATTCAAGTCCACGGGATTAGTCACCTCACAATCATCAATACAGTCATAATCATGATTGTTAAAACCGCAGCTCGTTTGTAGAGCTTTCTTCTCGTCATTCTCTCTCCATGCATCGGCCAAGCCTGAGGAGACGTGCCACGTGGCATCATCCACGACCTCAATCTTGAAGTCCTTCATATCATCGTCTTTACCAACTCCCAAAAATAATGGGGACAGATGGAGCCTGTCGTTGATCGAGTGACACCTATCGTAACGAGGTAATGGGGAGGACTTTGAAGTGAAAAATTTACTGCACTGTGATGAAAGAAGCGAATTTGTAACCGGTCTTAGTAGATTAACCCTTCTAAGTAGTAGTGAAAAAGCCATTTCCCTGTAAGGAAAAGTGACGGGGGCTTTACTGAAATGCAATAAAATTCAGCTGATTCCCTTCTCAGACATTTCGTCAAACAGCTCGTGCTCGGACTATAGTCCTAAGTGTGCTGCGATTTACACGAGATACAGCGAGCCGGTCCCGGAGAAAACCGCCGACCAAGCAAAACGTATGAAGTGAGGGGAGAGTGGTCGTCGCTGGAGATCCCGAGAAACTTCACCTGAACCGAGTTTGGAGGATTTTGAGCGAGTGAGTAAAGTAAATAGATCTGGTGTGTGTGTCTAATATTTGGACATTATGTTTGCAATTTAGAACAATAATAAACCACTCGAAAAGATTTTAATATCGTAATACGGCGAAAGCCAAAAAGTACTTGTTACATAAAAATATATTCTCCTCACATTTTCTGATGGAATTATGATAAGTTTTGATTTCCTCAAAAATATGTTAACAACTTCAATCATCAAGAAAGTGAGAAATTCAATCATAGCAGTATCCAATTAGAGAAAAATTGAAAACGAAAAAGAAAAAAAAAATCACAAGTTGGTAATATCCTAGTATAAACAATAATCAGATTATGGCTCCAAATTCTACAAGTCTCGAAAAGAAAATGAAAAGGCAATCACACATGCAAAAGCGCAGAGATGAAATTTTTTCTTTATTTTTTTCACCAATAGAGATGAAAATGTAATTGCTGAAAACGACTAGAGGATATAACGTGTAAGTGAAGAATACATTCTGTCTAGGTGAGGAAATGTGTGTTAATGATTGGTATTCGATGGTTAATTCCACTATGTTGGAGCAAAAACTGAAAAATGTAAATACAATAGCCCGTAACATTCATATGCCAAAACATCCAAAAATTCTGAATAATAGCATATGTAAACAGCATAACATGTAAATCAAAGGCACAAAATCTAAAAGCATATAAGTTTTGGTTTATAATGACCTGATAGTAGGAGCAGAATCACATTGCAACAACTTATGATGCATAATTCGTTTTAGTTCCCCATCTCGATCATTGATGAAAACAAATAATCAATAATCCTCTCATAGCCGGCAAAGACATGCTTTTTAAGTGCACAGACTTACAGATTCAAGACGAAGCTTCTGCTTCCCGGTTTGAAATTGACCCAGTTCGGGAGTGCGACGCTTAAGCAAGGACCTGCTGAACAAACACACATAAGATAGGCAACCAAAAAGTATATAAATTTACTACACAGCTCAGCAAAACAATCGCATCAATACTTCAGCAATAAGACAATATACCTGGACAAATTAAACACACATACTCCAACTTTCTCTTTCTTTTTCTACAACCTCAACCACATTGTTAAAGGCATTTAAACTAACAAGAGGCTCTGCAAATAACTACATTCAGCAGGTGAAAGGTCAAAGAACTCCAACAGCATACACCAAAAATAATGAAGCCAAAAATTATAACACAACATGCTATAAATTTCATTTCCTTTTTCACCCCATTTTCGTAACTTCAAAAATAAATTAGAGGCCCTAAAACTGGGCATTTAAACTATGAGACTAAAGCATTTTGACAGCATATAACACAGCATAAAATGAATAAATAAGCTACAAAGATTTATGGTACAAACACATGAACATATATGTACGTATAATTTTTCTTTTCCTTCTTTTCATCATTCTCATATAACGTAACCGAAAGCTTGGGCCAAATGGTAATGGTCAAAATAGTTACAGTTGCTACCTGGTTCTCCCGCCAAAAGAACCCGACCCGAACCCTAAGTACTGATAACCCAACTTGTCTCTAACAGACCCACCACCCCGACGACTATCACTAATCTGGCTGTACAACCATTGCAAAAACTGGCTTATTCATGTACATAATCATATATTGGTGGGACTCTAAGATGTAGCACACACATACATGCATAAGCTTATATAATATGAAAGATTCCTTGCCGTCATGAAAAAAAAAAGCACTTGAAAATGAATAGAATCCTCCATTCAACATATGGGATAAAAATATTCATAAACCAGTTATCTCAAAATAACCAAAATCATCTGGAAGAGAACTTGTAGTATAACATATAAGATTGTTGGAAGAGATATAATATTTAACTCAAGAATTTAAGAAGCTGATCATCCTCGGTTCGCCGTAAAAGGCAGCTGCTCGCCGGACGGAGGTTGGCTGTCCCTCTCAGTACGGCGCCGTCTCCTTAGTCCCAGCTCGCCGGGAATCTGATGGCTCGCCTCGCCGGAAGCTTGGGTTTTAGCCGCGACTAAAAAGGGCCTGCTCGGAATTTACAGCGCGATTTGGTGATGCTTGGAGAATCGAAGAGAGCTAAAATGGGATATTTTGCTGGGAACAAAATGAAGATGGCGGCAGACTGGAGGGCCACTTAAATAGGTGGAAAACTAGGGATTGAAGGGGAGGGAGATGCGTGGGTGAGCTCGCCGAAAAGAGGGGGTTCCGTTAGGGTTTCATGGAGCTGGTGGCTGTTGAAACTTGAGAGTAGGGCTGCACAATCGGTTAAAATCGAACCGAACCAACCGAAAATTCGGTTAACCAAATTTTCGGTTCGACCAATATTAAAACCGAAAACCGAACCGAAAACTACGGTTCGGTTCAGTTTCAAACCGAAAATTTATCGGTTGTTTCGGTTCGGTTATTGGTTGTCCGACAAAATGGAGAAATGACAAAAGAAAAAATTACAAATAACAATAGATACAGATTGTCTCCAATAAATCACTATTCACTAAATGCACAACTCTAAGAAATCATCAGAAATTCTGAATCCTATTCAATTCAAGAGCAAGCCCATCAAAAAATTCAAGTTTTTTATTAGTATTACAGTAGGTCACAGAAGCAGATAGGTTCAACATGTCAGTATGTCACAACAATTTGGAAACCCACAAGCCACAACCGTACAGCTCAAATCATAGGCATAAAAATTAACCCAAAAAAATATGAGCTCAAATTGGGTGGGTGCAACCCGTACAATGAATCACGACTCACAGGCCCAAAGAAGAATGAGAGATTCAAAGCCAGAAAAGAAAATTACGAATCCGAGTTGCAGCCCTTACGAGGGGATTTGGGTGGCGAACTCAATTGAGAAGACGAGCGTCACGACGGCCTGCGAGGTGGAGTGTGTGTGGGAGCAGAAACGACCGAGCGAGGCGATATGGGATTTCAAAATTCCGGCGATATTTTGCGCCGACGCCGAGCAAAGGGAGATGGAGCAGGTGATTTTGTGCACCGTGCGGCGGACGGGCGGAGAAGTGCAGTGCTAGGTAGGGTTTTCTGGAGGATGAGACAATGAGTGTCGATGGAATTGGACTATTGAAGTGATAAATTGGACCTGCTTAGTGCTTTATGGTGGGCGGCCCGTTAACTAATGACAATTGGATTGAATAATATATACTGGGCCTTTTTGAACTTATATAGCAGAAATAAGAGAAAATGACCCTTATTTCTTTGATAGACATAATGACGAAAATAAGTTTGTAATGCCTTATTGATGCAACAGTTCCACTAGGACGAAGTTCATTGATACCAAATAAATTAACAATTTTATATTCCACAAACCATTTTATATTTCACAAATTAAACCCTCTTTTTCTCTCTTATCTCTTCACCATTACCTTTTCTTCTTCCTTTCCGATTTCTTGGCATCACACAAAGATACACAGACCACCAAAAATAAAAATTTTTGTTAATACATTTTACTGCTATTTATTGAGATTCATGATGCAGGAAATTGCTTGCTATATGGGTCTGGAGCTTGGAAAGATTAAGATCAAACATTTTGCTGATGGAGAAATTTATGTTCAGTTACAAGAGAGTGTTCGAGGATGTGATGTGTATCTTGTGCAACCTACATGTCCTCCAGCAAATGAGAATCTTATGGAGATTTTGATAATGATTGACGCTTGCCGTCGGGCATCAGCCAAAAATATCACTGCTGTAATTCCTTATTTTGGATATGCCCGGGCTGATCAAAAGGTAAAATCTAAAATTGTTATTAGATATCAGAAATTTTCATTTCAAAAGACAGTATGGAGTTGATGACAGCCTAGTCATCACATACTCATATATATGCATGAATATAATAAATACTCTATTGCCACGTGTAAGTGGCTTATCACAGTGAATCATTTTGCTTTCTTCATATTTGATCTCATTATCAATATGTATTGATTCAGACTCAAGGGCGTGAATCGATTGCGGCCAAACTCGTGGCGAATTTGATTACTGAAGCCGGAGCTGACAGGGTTCTAGCGTGTGACCTCCATTCTGGACAATCCATGGGATATTTTGACATTCCGGTGGACCATGTGCATGGCCAGGTAAAGGAACCTCCCTAAACATTTGCTTTAATAAAAATAACATGCTATTATGCTAGTACAGTTAACTCATTACCTGAGCATCAGCACAACAATTAGCCAGAAAATTATTAAACTCTTTAAAGTATATCGTAAAGCAACATATTATACAACTAAAGTAAATAAAGTATCTGTTGATTTGGAAGTTTTCATTGGAACCTTATTTCCACAAAGAGGGCATTCTCATTACATTACATCTCTATAAATCACATCAAGTTCTTGGTAATTCATGTAAGTATTACAATGATTATTGACTTCTTTTGCAGCCTGNTTATGGACAAGACTATGATGTAATATACTACCATTTTGCACCTTTGAGTACTCTGTGGTCTTTTATGATCTAAGATATTGATTTGGGTTTGTGGACTCAGTATTACGTGTCTGCCTTCCCTAGTGACTTGTTCATTTAGTGTCATTTATGTCACATCTTGTTCATTATGCACACGGGTAGACATGAAGCTAATAGCGCATCTTTTGCAGGAACCATTGCAAAAGGAGCTGAAATTATGATTTAATCCGGAATGCTCAATCGAACTGAAATTATGGTGCACTGCTATAGCAATTGTAATTTCTACCTACTTCGAATGTGAAATTATTTTTTACCCATATATTGATGGAGCTGCAGCTGAACTGCTCTTTTCAGTGTTATAAAAAGTTCTGTTCTGCCTATCTTCAGTAACTATGATGCGTTATTTACTCCATGAATAAGTACTTGATCATAGGTCCCTATCTTTAATGAATTTAGTTTTGCATTCCTTGGGTTGCAAACTTGCAGTCCTCCTGCAGTAGAGAGACCGTCAAGCGGACTATTTCAAGAGGTAATCATAACAAACACCATTCCAGTGGCAGAGCAGAACTATTTTCCACAACTTACAATATTATCGGTGGCAAACCTGTTGGGCGAAACTATATGGCGTGTTCATGATGATTCTGCTGTAAGTTTTTATCTGAATTTCATTTTTATTTAGCCCTTCAAATCCTGATGACTTCTTGGATTTAACCGTTCCTATTAGATACAGAAAGATGAAAGAGAAGAGAAATAGACGAGAGAATGTGAAAGGATAATGAAAATAATGATCGAAAAATTGTGTTTGTACAATCTGGTCTCATCTATTTATATGAGACAAAAGCAACTTTACTAAACCTAATATAATTAGGCTAAACAATGTATTATATATATTTTCACCCCCCCGCAAGCTAAACATGAATATTGTTGATGTTTAGCTTGGACTTGAGATGATTGAAGGCAGGGCCTGGTAGTGCCTTGGTAAGGATGTCAGCTGGTTGGTCTGCAGTGGGGATGTAGTGCAATGAGACAATGCCTTGTGATATCTTTTCCCTTATGAGATGACAGTCAAGTTGGATGTGTTTGGTTCCCTCATGGAAGACTGGGTTGCAAGCTATTGCCATTGCAGATTTGCTGTCAGTGAAAAGAGGAACTGGGCTGTGATGTGGAATGTTGAGGTCAGCAAGCAGGTAAAGTAGCCACTGGACTTCACATGAAGTTGATGCCAAAGCTCTGTACTCTGATTCTGCTGAAGATCTGCTGATTGTTGTTTGCTTCTTGGATTTCCAGGAGACCAATGATTTGCCAAGAAAGACAGAATAACCTGTGATGCTTCTCCTTGTATTCACACAGCTAGCCCAATCAGAGTCACTATAAGCAGACAATGTTAGAGCAGATGTTCTGGAAAACATAATTCCTTGACCAACTGAACCTTTAATGTATCTAAGTATTCTATGTGCAGCTGAAAGATGAACATTTGTAGGTTTGCACATGAATTGACTTAGACTTTGTACACAATATGCAATGTCAGGTCTAGAAATGGTCAAATAAAGAAGCCTTCCAATTAGTCTTCTATAGGCAGATGCATCAGTTAGTGTATCAGAATCAGAGTAGGCTGTTAATTTTAATGTAGGATCCATTGGTGTTAAGGCTGGCTTGCAACCCAGAAAACCAGTGTCTTGAAGTATGTCAAGTGCATATTTTCTTTGGCACATGTTTATTCCATTTTCAGAATGAGCAAATTCCAGCCCTAATATATATTTAAGCTTACCTAGATCCTTAATAGTAAAGCAAGAATGAAGATGTTGCTTAACAGCTTGAATGGTAGGTAAGTTGTCACCACAGATTATAACATCATCAACATACACAAGTAAGGCAATAAAATGAGATGCAGTGACCAATGTAAATAAAGAACAATCAGCCACTGATTGCTTAAAACCATAGGAAATGAGGCATGATGTCAATTTTTGAAACCATTGTCTAGATGCCTGTTTGAGGCCATAAAGACTTTTGAGTAATTTACATACTCTTGTGTCAGATTCAGAACAATAGCCTGGGGGTGGAGACATATATACCTCTTCATGTAAATCTCCATGTAAAAATGCATTATTAACATCAAGTTGCTCTATGAACCAGTTTTTGATAGAAGATAATGCAACAAGTAATCTCACTGTAGTTATCTTAGCCACAGGTGAAAAAGTGTCAAAATATTCTATCCCCTCTTCTTGTGTGTAGCCTTTGGCTACCAAACGAGCTTTGTATCTCTCTATACTACCATCAGACTTGTACTTAACTTTATATACCCATTTACAGCCTATACAATGTTTGTTGGGTGGTAAAGTAGTTAATTCCCATGTTTTGGTTTGTTCAAGAGCTGTCAATTCTTTATAAACTCAATTCCGTTACTCCCCGGCAACGGCGCCAAAATTTGACCGCGCGTCGCAACGCGGTCAAAATATAATATTTATTTTCCTTAACCGACTTCTACCAACTAGCAATAGTAGTGAGCAAGGGTCGAACCCACAGGGAGTGTAGAATTTAATTGTAATTATTTTCTTTAATTGAAATCATGAAAATACTAATAAAAGGGGGGTTTTGGTGGAAATTAATTAACTAATAGAAATATGAATGACAGAATAAACTCAAATGCAACAAATAAGATGATAATCAAATAAATGAGGAAGCTTCTAGTCCACGGTTCCGTCTACACCCTCGACTGACTCGTCTAATTAATTTTAGTATCAGATTTCGCTATCTCCTGGAATTACTAGCCCTAGGTAATAACATGGTCTGTTACCCGAATTTTTCCTTATTTTTAATTTAACCGCGAGACGCTCGATAATTAAACCTGACTTCTTGTACAGTCCAGAAAAACGTTTTCAAGATTTAATACAATTAGTCGCTTTACGATTTAGAAAAATAGGCTAAACTAATTAGTGAACTCAACCGCGTTCGTTCACTTAATTAGGCCGTGTTATCCCCGGTAGTTATCATCTTCCGGTTACCTATTATGAATTAAACACAACAACAATTACGGATTGCAGGTCTAACTCAGATGTAGATATGAAAAGCCTAATCTAGGTGATCAATCTGAACAAGACTAACACATCATGGTGAATTATTCAAAATAACACAAGCAATTCCAAAAAGATATTAAAATCCTCAACCATATAAATCAATCAAAACATAGTCAATCGTAGGGTTCGACTTCCCCGGAACTAGAATAAAAGGACTACTCACTCTTAATGTTCGAAGACATAATCATCAAATTAATTACACGAGAAAAATAAACAAAGAAAAGAAAAGAATAAAATCTTCTCTGTTCCAATGCCGTCGTTGCCTTTTCTCTGTTCCAGTCCCGCAGCCGCAATGTCCAGGTCAAAGAATGAATCCCCCTTCACGCAAAAGTCTCCTCCTTTATATATATCCTTTCCTTTCTTTTAATTATTTTATGTCTCTCTCCTTCTATTTCCAAGTAAAGTCAAGTAATAATGAGTGGGCCTTTTTCTTCATCATTTCACCATCACACGTGGCCCACCTCTTCCAACACAAAATATGTAGGCCCAGTTATATTAATTTCTCCAGGCCTTCTAACGTGAATTACGTGGGCCTATTTGGCAGTACAGGGTGCTGCTGGTCAGTATGGGACACCCTTGTACTCACTGGAAGCTCTTCTTCGACCATCTTCCGTTCATCTACACTTCACCGTGCAACCCGAAATAGCTCCAAAAGTACTGAAAATCACTCAAAAACTCATCAAAGCACGAGAGTTGATCATAATATCAAATAAGTCGAAAGATGAATAAATACGAGGAATTAAACGTGCACAATCACAATATTAGATGACAAATGCAAGCACGTTTCTCGACTTATCAACTCATCAACAAAAGATCCTTAAATTCATAGACAAATTCAAGTTAGGGTTTAAACATCCTTTAGATAAAAATACTACCCTAACATACTAATAAAAATAAATAATAGATAAAAGAGAGAATAAGAGCATGTTTGGATATAAAAAATTTTGGTGTTGTAGAATTTTTTGGTTGGTTTGGTTAATTTTGAAAAAGATGGTAGGGTTAGTTGTTATTTAAAATAAAATAATTAAAATTAATTTGATGTAAAGTAGGAGAAAGATGATTTGAAATGATGATTAATTAAAATAATCTGAGTAGATGAATATGAATTAAGGTTGATGTGGTGTGTGAATGATTGATTGATATTATTTAATTATATTGATAATATTGATGATAGTGGGGTTGAGCTAAAGTTGATTTAAAAAAAAGTGGTTGAGTTAAAATGCTGGAATTTTTTTTGAGATTGTTTGTATCCAAACATACTCTAAATCTCCCTCGTATGGGAGTGCGGCTTCCCTTCGCCCAGGGCCGGCTCTTTGGGGAGGCAGCCTAGGGCCTCCCCATATATTTGGGGCTCCATTTTTTTTTTTTTTTTCAATATTATGTATTTGTGATGAGTTTGGCCTATTTGCACATATGAAGTGACTCGTGCCTAAATATAGACTTGACCCATTATACAAATGAAGGGGCTAATTAATGAATGAGCTAATGGTAAAATATGTACTTTGTGTGAAAATCTGAGGCCCTAAATATTTCATTTGTTTTCTTATGATGTTCGATTAGAACAATTGTGTGAGAATAAATATTCTTTGCAGTGATATGGTTGTTTTTTTCTTCTCCTTGTTGTTCTTATGACTGCTTGAATGTTATTAAACAACTTTGTATCTCATAGGTAATTTATCAATTCCAAGGTCTAGAAAAACAAGAAAAATTATTCTTTTTTCAATTATTTATTTATTTATTTAATAGTTTTTTTAATTAGGTTTTTTTCTTCTACGATTCTATCTGCAAATAGCCTAATTACAACGCAAACTCAAATCAGGAAATTCGAAAAAGATAAACTTGTCTAAGCCCTCCAAATTTCTAGAGACGGCCCTGCCTTCGCCCGTGTGTGCTCTCTGTTCGGCTGCTGGTATCTGTTGCTCTTTTATCTTCTTCTTTATGTCAAAAAAAATAAAAAAAGTAGTACCTGACCTCTGTTTGTATCCTCTACCGGTTCTCATCAAAACAACTCACGCCCTTTGCTAAATTGAGTCCTGAATGTCCATAACTCCAGCAAATAAATCATGCCTATCTTTCGACTTTCAACCAATCAGAACTCTCCAATTCATCCATGCATCCATTCAAATCAATTCAATTAAAGCTTATACATTTAGCCCAATTCCATGTCAAAATCTTTGGCCCATGAAAGAAAAATGAGTAGCCTCAATTACATCACGTGTCGCTGGGCCTCAATTATACCACTTTGTGGGCTTTAATTCTCATGAGGAATCCAATAATCGGCCCAAAACTCTCATCCGGTGTTTCATCTATCGTGAATCGTGAATAAAAAATACTGCAAAACATAACAAAAAAAATATCAAAGTATATAAATCCACCCACATAATAAATAAGTCGAAAAATATAAATATGCTAATAAATTAAGTGTATAAATATACACTATTAGATATTTAATACGCACATTTTTCGACCTATCAACAATTCAAAAAATTATTATGAAAATTGATTTGGTTAAATATATTATCATCTATGGTTGTAGGTATTAATTTAATTAATTATATTCACTATCCAGAAGTACTTAAAATATTTAATAAAATAAGATGAATAACTATGTTTAAATCATACTAACTTAATAAATAATTTAAAATATTAATAAAAGTTTCTGAAATGTAGTCAATTTTTTAACTATAAAAAGGTACATCCCCATTGAATATATCATATGCAATGATAATACTATTGAAAATTTAAATAATATACTAATAAAAATAAATTTTGATGGTCGGGTGCAATTTAGAATTAGAAATTTCACCTTAAAAGTATCTATGTACATTAAAAAACTATTAAATTTTTAAAAATATATTTTTTTTTCTTATATACTATTTTATAAATGAAAAATAATTTAATAAAATAGCAATGTATAATAATTTAAATTATAGCACTTGGTATTCTGAAAATATATAATATATCTAATTGTTCAAATACATACTATGTAACTCATTATATAGGTTGAAAAAATTAATTAAATAAATAAATATAAATAAATAATGAAAACATAAAAATAAAATATTTAATCATTAAAACTTTGTGTGTTGTATAAGGATTAAAGTTACTAAAAATTAAAATTTATCTATCAAAATTTTTAATATTTAATGCACTTAATAATTGATTCAAGTGCAGTACAGCTCTCGAGGCAATAAAAGAAAAACTCCTAATATTTTTCTCTGGCAACTCGCAAGCAATATAAATTGAATTTGCTTACAAAAAACTAATCCAAAAAAACATGATGACCTGAAGGAATTCATTCATAATTCAACCCACTCAAATGTCCAAAATTGGTTCTGATGGATTTTTCCCCAAACAAATAAATCATTCAATGCCTTTTGAATGTTCAAACAAAACAATCAGACAGTGACATGCGATTTAAATTAATTTACCGAAACCACATAAACTGATTTCAAAACCGCACTCATAAAGCATATATTCAAGGCCTTGATGGATATGTAAAAATCCGTGGCTCATCAAATCCCCTTAATTAATTCTGACACGAGTACCAATCACATATAGATCGAAAACAATTCAATTTTCTAAAACAATACGAAGAGACTCTGATACCAATTCATAGAAAATTGAATTTAACCTTATGCGATAGAAATCGCTTAATTCCAAGAGCATTCATATTGAACAATTGAGAATCAATCCGAATAGCGGAAGTGTACATGATGTATTCATGTCGATTGATTACACTGAAATTGAATTGGGATTTTGGATTTGGAGATCTTCCAAAAGGCCGTGAACAGTAACCTCTCATCTTATGACGTAATGAAGAATAAAACTGAGAGAGAGTGGGGAAACCCATGCCGTTTTATTCTTCTTATCACTTTATGAAGAATTCCAAAAGGTTCATTTTATTTTTGGGGACTCCACCCATTATTAATTTTGACCCAAATTATTTGCTATTTAGGTCATTAAGTTTAATATTATTATTTGTTACGTCACTAAATAATAATATTATCAGGTGTCCACATTTAATTATTTCACAATCTAAATTAATTTCTGTAGCCAATGTACAATAATTTGATCACTTAATTTGACTAAACAATATAATTACTCAATGTATCAATTACACATATTTAATCACAAAATAGATCTAACAAAAACCTGAACCATGCCACCATAATTTTTGTAATTGTAAAAGTTTCCAAAAATGGAAAGACATGCACACAGCTGAACATAAAATCAAATAAACGGCGCCAAACACAAACACAATATCTCTCAGGCTGAACGGGATTATTTGATTTGAACAACGGTTAATTTATTATTATTATATTATAAATGCACTTGTTTAAATGGAATGCACCTAACCTGAGTCACATCTGAAATGTATAAAAGATAAAAATGAACGCGAGGCGAGGGACGACAAAAGCGGGGTAAATATTTAATAATGGATAATTTGTGGAGGGCACCACCAAATAGCTGGCAGGAGCCGCATGGACCATTTTCATCAAAAACTATAGTATTTTATTTTCTGATCCCTCCACATGCCTCATCGGTCTTTCAGCACATGTCCCTCTCATCTTTTCTTTCAACCATTGCATTATTTCCTGATAAAATAAATAATAATTAAGAGAAATGCTAAGGTCCCGGTACCATCCCGTCAAGTGTTTTAACCGTTGGATCACATGTAGTTTGTATAAGATAGATAATCCAACGATTTAAACACTTGACAGGATGGTACCGTAATGGGACCGTCGTCTTTCCCTTATATATATATATAATAAAGTTGGATGACCGGCAATAGCCGGTTTATGTTATCTGCACGAGACTAATGTTAAACATGTCGGGAGCATATAGTATATATTAATTAGTTTCATTTCACATAATATATATATATTCAACTCCTCCGATTCCCTCTCTCTATCTATTCCCGTTTCTCAGTGAGCTGTTGACAATTTCCTTCAAAGTTAGTTCATTATAAACATAGCAGTTTGACCTCGCAATTGAATTGATAAAAAAGGTAAATATATATATATATAGATATATATGGAGAGAGATTTCATGGGCTTGGCTGTGAAGCAAGAAACTCCAGATGAAGTCATTGATGCAGGTAATATATTTATTTCATTCTTTATTTTCCCCTAAAACAAACAAAAACAAAACATGTCTGTATATAGATATGCTTGCTTAATTGGTTGCCCTTTTATTTTCATGCTGATAATTAGGAAGAAAATTAATACATGGAGTTTATATATGTTGTTACAAACATATATATATTTTCAGTTAATTATGAACCGGTAGTTAAAGCGGCTGACATGAAAATCTGAAGTACACACATAGATCAAAAGCTAATTTTATTACGAATTGAAATTTTTTCGAGCGGCCTTCTTTTCTTCCACTAAATTTTTACAACGAAACATAGAAATATTGCCTCCCAAAATTTTCTTCTTCAATTCTTTTCTCTTTTCCTGTTTCCATCGATGCTTCAAATGAAGTAATTATTTTTTTTTCCATTATTACTCCCTCATTATATTATTCATTATTATGCCTAACGTTATCTTTTCGTATATATCTTATTCGATCTGGTTTGGGTTGGGGGTGGATTGTTCACGTTGTGTATGGAAAAGTTCAAAATATGGGTGGAATAAGATAACGTACTTTATTATTATTATTATTATTATTATTTTTCTTTTTTTCTTTTTTCGTAAACTTGCAGACTCAACTCACTCGATTTTAAACTAAAAATATTCCCCATTTTAGAATAAACGGGCATCTGGAGAGATCTATCTATATAATATTAGACAGCCTCATTTTTTTTTATTCCAATTAATTTATTATAAACGAGTTGTTGTGCCTTCCAAAAAAAGTCACCACCCCACTTCCCATTAATTTAATATTTAGAGTATTAATGAATTATATACTCCGCCACATGATTCCCATAACAAAGTAAAGAATTCCAAATAGTTTAATATTTATATCATAAAGTTTTGACCAGATGCATGCTCATATTCCTAACTTGTTCCACATGGATTAGTACTACACAATTATTCAATTTTCTATGCACAAAAGGTGCTCACTATCATCCATTTTTTTTTAATAAATATAAATATATATATTTAACACGTTGCCCGTATTCTACAGCTAGCTAGGCCTACGAGGCTTCACGAGTTGAAAAGTTGCACCCCAATATTCTATTATATCTTTCACTTGTTTGTTGTTTGAGAAATAGTAATAATAGAATAAATAAATATAATGAATGAAACATGTTGACATATTCTACTCTTTCTTAAGCTACACTTTCACCACTTTTATGCGAGAATTTTTTTTTTGTTACAAAGTCATGTTCTAATTTCTATTTCATTCCGTTGAGACATGATTTAATTTGGAATAGAAGTGACATCCTTTTATGTTCACATGATAATTCAATCATTAGGCATTTATTTACCTCAATTACTACTATCTTATGAGGTAAAAAGAGAAATAAAAAAAAAAAAAGATTTATAGCTAGCAAGTTGTATATTGTCAATGATTGATATAGTTGTAATTAGATATTTTATCTTTTAATAACATGATTGATATGTCTAACTAAAATTGTTTCCAATTTTTGTTCTTGTTGTTGCATTTATATTGTATTTTGTAGCTCCATTGAGAAGCTCAGGTATGCATTGGAACAAGGCCCCTCAGAGTCAGCTCTTATGCTTTGGTGAAAATCCCAACAGTTCTGTTGTCTTTGAACACAAATCCTACCCTGCTGCCATGCACGTAATTATTTTTGTTTATTTGATTACTAATTAACCTGTATATTTTCATTTTTGAATCTTTAATTAAACTGCCTTTAATTCCTATTCATCAGTGCCTGTTTTTCTTTTTTTGACTTTTTTTGGGCAATATAGAAGGATATTGTTCCCCAACAAGCAGCGGGATTCCAATATTACACGACTCGAGCTGTCCCCACTCAAACAAACGTAACTGCACTTCATGCTGCACTTTCTTCTAATGGCCCTGTTGTTGGGACAACTGATATAAGGTAATTAATTTTCAAGTTATGTGAACTTTACAGCTACTAGTTAATGGACTAGATAGACATATAAGCATTATAAATTAGACTGATAATCGGACGTGTGTGTGTGTGTGTGTTGACACAATAAGGAACGCTTCCAAGGGGCCTTCTCAGTTGACTATCTTCTATAATGGTGCCGTTTGCGTTTATGACAACATTACCCCAGAAAAGGTACATCCAAAGGATAGTGTTTTTTTTAGTCTTGTCATTAATATTCATCTGAAGAGAATAAGTGAAAAATCGAAGCTTTTGTCATTGGTGGACTTAATAGGCTCAGGCGATTATGTTATTGGCTGGCAACGGGCCGACTAGGCCTTCTGCTCTTGATGGCTTACTCGTGATGAATTCGAGCCCGGCTGCTACAGCTCCTGTTAGCATTCCGCACGGTTTACCAGTTGCCACGAGTGCTTTAAATTTAAACAAAGGGGCTCTAATTGTAATGTCTTCTCAAAAAGTCGACCCTCCGCCCATCTCTGCAACTGTGCCTCAGTTTAGGAAAAAGTCTCTCGCTCGATTTTTGGAGAAGCGTAAGGAGAGGTGCATGAGTCGTTGTATATATACTTTGACATTCTACGAATTCATATTCATTATTTTACGTACGTAGCTAATTAATTTACGGATGATTACTTCTATTATCCAGGGTGATTAATGCATCTCCATATGAAAATAAGGAATTGCACAATGGTAAGAGCACCCCAGGAGTCGGTAGCACAATCTTGTCCCCGAAATCTTCAAGCTCGTATCATGTTTCGACCGTGAACTGAAGGAGGGAAATAGGTGCTAATTTTAAATATATATATATATAAGCCGCGCGACTGCAATATGAGTTCTATCTATAATCCTGTATTCGTTGAACATAGCCGATATTTGTTGTAATTGTGAATGTACCACTAAGTATTTGCAAGGCCAACAGTTTTCAGAATTACATTAATGTATAAAGTTTTCAATTTCTTTGTATGATATGTAGTAGTGAAATTTCTTGTTTCTAGCACTGTGTAACCTCATCAATTTCAAACAAATGTCATGAATGCATACTTCTTATGCTTCTTTTTGTCATTCTTGGAGTAATTAAACCAGCAAACCGGCCATATAGTAAGGGGCACAATAGTGCAGAGCTTCTTCATCAATCAATCTCCATTTTCGATTTGTACCTATTGCTGTGTATTATCTGTAACAAGCTCTGCATTCTTATGATCATTCATCGGCCATTTGTAGCAATTTGAATTATTTTGTTTTACTTTCAAGAATAAAGGAGCTGTTACGGCTATATAACAGCCACTTTTACAGAAACATTAAAAGCGGCAATTGAAACATAGAGAATAATAAGAGGACAGACATGGATGACGATTCTTGAGCTTGGGTGTGGTAGAATTACATAAACTGGATATAATTTGTTAACTTCTGTTAAGGCTCGAGCTCGATTCTAACTATTTTGATAAATGAGTAGAGCTCGAACTCATTTAGTTAACTAGCCAAGTCGAGTTTAGCTCGTTAAGGATTAAAAAAGAAAAAGGTTTTATGTAATTATTTAGAACTTAAGGGGTTGAAACGTGAGTTCGGCTCGACTAGATAATATTGATATACAAGCTATTTGAAAATATAAATTTTTATATAATTTTTCTACAACAATACACGAGTTAGTCCTCTTAAAATTCAAACTCACATGGTTAAATATTGATAGAATGTGGACTAATTTTATCAGTGCATGAAGCTAATCTATATCTATATAATGGACCAATTCTTATTGCCATAATTGGCATGATTTTGGTCGGGAAATTTTTTTGTCTATATTTGATTTTTAATTAATATTTGTTTATTATAAAATCTTATGCATGAAAAACATAATTAATTTTTATACATTCAATGGCTAATACTCATTAACTACAAATTTGCTTAAATTGAAAATTTGACCGTAGATTTATTAGATATATTTTCAATAAGATCTTATATTAATATAATAATAATTTATTGACACAATTCAAAAAATTATGGAAATTGATTTGATTAAATATATTATCATCTATAGTTGTAGATATTAATTTAATTAATTATATCCATTATCCAGAAGTACTTAATATATTTAATAAAATAATCAGAATAATTATGTTTAAATCATACTAACATAATAAATAAATTAAAATATTAATAAAAGTTTCTGAAATGTAGTAAATTTAACTATAAAAAAGTACATCACCATTGAATATATCATATGCAGTGATAATACTATTGGAAATTCAAATAATATATTAATAAAAATAAAATTTGATGGTCGGGTGCAATTCAGAATTATAAATTCCACCTTATAAATACATTAAAAAACTATTCAATTTTTAAATATATATATATATATATATATATTCTTATATACAATTTTATAAATGAAAATAAGTTACTAAAATATCAATGTATAATAATTTAAATTATAGCACTTGGTAATTATGAAATATATAATATATTTAGATATTCGAATAGATGTTATTTAACTCATTATATAAGTTAAGAAAATGAATTAAAGAAACAAATATAAATAAAAAATGAAAACATAAAAATAAAATATTTGACCAAAAAAATTTATATGTTGCATAAGGATTAAAGTTACTAAAAATTAAAATTTATTTATCAAGGTTTTTAACACTTAATGCACTTAATAATTATAACGGAAGATAAATATTATGTGTTAAACGTTGGTCAATTATCAAGCAATGTGCAAATTATGAATTGTTGAAAAAATTATAAGACTATGATAAACGACAATTTTATAAGTACATATAAGTAATTTGTATGCAAATATCACATGATCTTATACATTTATAATATGTTATAAACTTATAAATAATAAATTTTATATATTAAATAGTCAAAATTTACAAAAAAAAATTATAAAATAGAAATTAATAATAATAATAATAAATAAATAAATATCATATTATTTCTTAATAGAATAATGTGGAGAATATAGTATCATATGTCTTAAATAAATTTATAATATTTAAATAAAAAAATATTTGTCGAATTATACCCCATATGCACACTAGTATCACGAAAGGAAAAAGAAAAAAGTCAGCATTAAACCAAGGGGTTTTGTGTTTCAGTTGACTGCACCCCAACATTCGAACATGGACCATCAAAACGAGGTGACGATCAGGATCCTATGCCGGAAACTGGTAATATTGAAGAAAGAAGCCGGCCTGCAATGGCTTATCGGTTCGCCGTACTTGCCCTCGGTCAGTATCGTCTCCACCCTCAGATGCCTCCACACACTCCCGTCCGATCCTCTGTCTCCTCAATTGTCCATGGAATCAGGTACATTCAGTTATGAGATTTAGGTTTCGAAACTTAAATGCCTGAAAACGTTATGCTTATCTGGACAACGATTTCGTTAGTTTCGTGGTTGCTATTGGTGGTAAAGGTAGCTTTTGCCGGAATTAGTAACAATGTCTCTTTTAATTTCGACTTTTCTCCCTTTTCATGGCAAGTTGTGATTTTCGATGTCTTTTGTTGTTTTAGGGTAGTTTGCAGAAGTACCTTTCACTTTCTCTTTGTCAAAATGCCACCTTTGATCATGATATAAGTCGTTGCCGGTTGTTGTTTTGGTTGTGAAAGACATGGTTGATATTGACAAACACCAAAACGAACTGGCCATTTTTAAAGTTTCTGATTCCTTATTGGCGTTGTTCTTTAAGTTGCGATGAAGTGTCTGCCTATTACTTTTATTTGGGAGTTTTGCAAAAAGCCCACCTTTTCGTTTTCATTTTTGCACAAATACCACCTTTGATCGTTTATCATTTGTTGTCTTTCGTAGTTTTGGTTGCAGATACAAGAGTGAGTGAGTGACATTTGTGCAAACACAAAGACAAAAGTGGCACTTTTGCAACTTACCATTTTATTATTGTTTTTTCTATTTTTTTAGAAAACCATCCATCCAACACTTTTTTTTTAATGTAAAATTCATCTCGAAATCAGCTGGAGATTTGGATTTATCGGCATTACGTGGATGCTGCCTGCTGGTGGTGGTCANTGTATATGGATGATTACATACATGTGTTGCATAGTTTTCTATTGATAGTTGACAATTAGAGCACTTGTATAGCTTTAAGCTCTCGGTAAATATTCTAGTTTTATATATATATATATATAAAAAAAAAAATCACTTTGACATGGAACTTGATAGTTGGTGATGCAATGGCAGAGGTTTATTATTTAGTAAGACATTACACAGATTGAGAATCCTAAAAATTTTGTGGCATGTTTGCTGGGGCTTGATGGACAGATGAAATAAGAAGTCTCCTTCCTAGGGGGTTTGAAGTTATTGGTGCAGTGATTGTTCATGATAAGAATGAAGTTAGAGCAGAAAGAATTACAAGTGATGCTATTTTAGCCGCTAGTGACTTTAGGAAGCTCCTTTATGGAAATGACAGTCAAGATCAAGTATTGATTGGAGCTGCTCTGGATCTAAACAGCGCCCATGGTGATAGTGATCTGCAGTTCTTCGTATCAAGGACCGCAAATACGAATAATTTGGAGAAAGTTTGTACTGTAATTTATGAAGATCAGCCCGAGAAGGAAGTGTGGCAGAGAGGCTCTATCATTCATTGTGAACTTCCTTTGAATTTGCCTCTGTATTATGCGCCAAACAATCCCAAAGGTGTGTTTATCATCTCCCTTTTTATTGTTTATTGTAATATTACTTTTGGTTGATTGTGGCTGTTAGTATCTTGAGCTGTTAATTGAACTTCAAATTAGAGCTGTAACTTCGTAGTTTTTGACAGCATTTCTCTATTCCCAATGATGGTGATAAATTGTAAGATGATTCTGATTATATGTTTCTTAATTGCCCTATACACTAGTTTGAATTCGATTTAATGTCCCATTTTGATTGATACATTCCCAAAATGAAGAGGTATACACGTGCAATTTTTAGGGGTTATCTCTGTTCTCTTTAAGATGCCACTTACACAATTCAAGTCACTGAGAGATAAATTTTTGGACAAGTGATGTATTTTATAGCCAAAGGTTGCTGCTCTTAAATGTTTTCACTGATTGAGAAGAACTTGAAGAAAGAACACAGACACTACATCACGAAAGAAAAGACAGTGAAACTATGTTTTCAGTTTTTTATGTATCCTTGTAGTGTGACATGATGTACACATTTCTTCTCCTGGCCGATATTCTTAACTTCTGAAATACGGTTTATGTAATTTTTTGTTGATAAGAGGTTATTCTTTCATAATTCTTTTCATGTTCCTGAGTATGCTGCATTTCTGTTAGGCATTGAAGATGCATATGCACGAGCAATTGAGGATGTGGAAAGAAAATTTAGAGACCCACAAGCTGCATATATCATAGAAGCCCAGCCTTCTCTGGGTGGACCTCAGCCTGTCATTCTTCATGGAATAGATTTGGATCTACCAGCTTCGCTTCCAAACAATGCTTTTCTAATTGAAGATGCTCAAGAGTCAATCACCAAATCTCTAAAATGTTCATACTTTCTCTCAGATAGTAAGGACGTTTCATCTTTTACCTCTTTGGAGAAGGTAATATGTCACTCCATTGGCATTGATTTTACTTGTGAATTGAATTACTGATGAACTTACTCTTTGAACATCTACTTTTTTTTTTTTTTTTTTTTTTTTTTTTTATTTGTTTCATATTACTGCTTAGAATGCAGATAAAATTGTTGTCAGCGTCATGTTTAATAGATCACGGAGTAATTCTGAACCTGCTGCACCTATTGCTGAGTATTATCCAGGCATGAGATGCAATTAAAGTATTTTCTTTTGTCTTTCAGAGAGATTCAGGGCCCAGAAATTTGGCTGTATCTGTCTTCTTGAAAGCTTGTTGAATATAGATTTGTACGCTTGACAGTCCATCTTATTCCTTAAAATTATATTTTGTTATAGCAATGGGGGAAGCCCAATTTTCGGCTGTAAATCACAAATTAAAAGTGCTATGCTATGTGAAGAAGGATCTGCTGTTGACGAGTATGGTTTCAAAGTTACTCATCCCTGGATTGGTTGATCAGTTGCATGCATTAAAGAACAAGTTCTTCACTGATGTCTTTGTTCAACAGCCGAAGGTTAAATGATCATCTTGTCCTTTTTGTACTGTCAGTGAGAACCTCCTTTGAAAACCTATTATCTGACAAACTTGCTTTATTCTGCAGCTACAACCATACCATTTCATGCCTTCAGGCTTTCTACATCCAATCACAGTTGTATATGAACTTAGCTATGGGGAGACAGAAATCAAGCAAGGTAGTCTCTGTTTAAAGTTTACTAGGAGGATATATAAAATGTGTCTTCTCAAATTAACGAGTTAATTTTTAAAGTTATCTCGTACATACCCCACCCCAAACCCCGAAACCTTTGTTTGACATGATTAAAACAGTATATAATTTCCATCTTATATACCATAAAGGTCAGCCAGAAGGGTTCAATAAATGTAGTACAAGGTGTCAAGTGCATCTTATAACTTAAGAACACATTGACATAAAATATATATTCATCTGTTGGACCAATGAGAACTTGAAATATTTTTGCATTGGAGGTGGTACTTAATTTTTTGCTGAACTTACTTCAACTTTGAAGTTGAAGCTCGCAGAACACTTCACCGGAGACTAGGGTTGCCACTTGACCGCCCTCTTTTGAGAATTGCTAATGCTATAAACTTTTCTACAGTGATGGACAACTCGAAGGACAAATCAACTTCAAAGGGTTTTTATCCAACTTTATCAAAGCCTTCAATTTTATGTTGGTACTTTCGCTTATTTGAATTGGATGGTATAATACATTGTTTGTTTATCTTTTATATCAGGTTCCACTTTGCTCAAGGATGTACATCGTGGTATTCCAAGCAGTGGGGGTAATTGTTGTCTGGAACCTCACATTTGGCACTATGCTTTTGTTTCTTAACATTGCAATGTTCACTGTGTATTTACTACTATCCTATCAATTTTACAGTATCTGGCGGCCATATTTCTCTAATTCAAGGTTCTTATGA